CAGGGTCAGTGGCACCAAGGCAGAACCAGGCAAAGTCTTCCCAATTTTTATTAACCTGCCAACAGTTTGCAGCCACTTTAATCAGAGCTGCAAGTTCCCTTCAGAAAAACTGAGCTAAGGGTGGTTGTGCCTGAAGGACAGCCTGGCAGGGAGCAACTGAAGCCTTCCCCATCCCATTCCCTGTGCAGGGATGTGCTAATCCAGCTGTCCCTCCCCTCCCACAGGCATCAGGAAAGAGCACTCACATTTTCCTTATTTTCATCCTGTTCCAAAGGCTGGAAAGCATCAGTGTCCAGAGAGTCAGAGTGGTTTCTCTTCAGAGCAGGGCTGGAGCCCAGCAGGCTTTGCTAGAACACAGAAGGGACAGTTCAGGACTGTGCATCAGTCCTTGCACAAGCACTTTTCAAGCACTAAAGGGGTTAACAAAGACTGGAAAGCCTCTGACTACAAATTCTGCACACCCTGTGCAGGAATCCTCTTGGTACAGGGACCAAAATGTTTCAGTGCACCAGTGATGGAGCCACAGCACGGAAATTTCACACTGAATTAAGAGAGATTGGGCATTTACAAACTGCAGTTTTGACATGAAGCACCCCAGCAGCTGGTGTTGAAGCCAGAAAAATCAACAAGTATTCAGCTAAATGCATTCAACCAAAACCATGCTAAATCCTTTAACATGTAGAAAACATCAATCCCACTCTCACTTACTGGCAGGGAATGGATTCTTCTGAAAGGTATTCGAAGGCTGCAACGAAAAAGAACCAAAATTTATTTCAACATCTTGCTTTAAAAGGCAGTGACATGAACAGAAATCACCCCCCAATTCCACAATCTAAAAGAGACACCGAGGAAGAATTTAAAATAGAATTATACTCACTTCAGCTTGCTGGATTTGATTGCTTTCTCAAACCTAAAAGCAAAAAGATCAAAGGTTGAAGGTCTCAGAGGTCTTCCCCAAATGAAATGGTTCTGTGGCTCTTAAGGCACAGACTCAAACCAAATGTTAAAAATGCCACCGAGACAGACCCCGGTGCAGCCCCAGGCTGCAGGCAGGTGCCAGCGCCGTGTGGCTGGCAGCTCAGAGGCAGCACTGCATGCCCCGGGGCAGGGGCAGGGCCAATCCCAGCATTCCAGCTCGGGAGCACACCAGGGAAGCCCCAGGGCACTGTGCCAGCAGAGGAAAGCTCTCCCCAGCCCCACCAGCCCAGCTTTGGTCAAGTGATGCCATTTTCACACAGGGGCACTCACGTGTCCTCCATGGTGTCGTGTGAGGTCGCAGGGCCAGGAGAATCCAAAGCCAAACCTGCAGAGCAGACACACATTCCCCACTGATTTATCAGTGAGTATCACCCACTGCTACACATTTCCACAGAAAGACCCAAGAAATTCGTGTGGAAAGTCCCCATCTGCAGCCTGACCTCGGTGCAGAACAAATTATGCTAATAAACACATTTATTAGAATGAATATTTATTATAAGTTATAATAAATAATTATAAAATCGTTATTTTAGAATAAATTAATAACTAAATTAAGAGTTACAGCTACTCCCCATTGTGGGGTTTGGCTGTGGATCATCAAGTGGCAGTGCTTGGGAAAAAGAGGGAGAATTTAAAAAAGCCCCCCAAGGCCTGCCTGGGCTGTCCCATGGAACAGAGTGCTGGCACTCAGCATGGAATACTCTGTTTATCCACCACACACCTAGATAAACAATTCAATCCTTTAGGGCTTTTGGTAAGCCATGCTTTTAGTGACACCTACAAAGAAATTTTGTGCTCATTCCCAAAAATAAGCAGTCAAAAGGCCCTTCTGAATGTGCTGGAATGAACAGGAAGCACTTCAGAAGCACAAAGCAAGCACAGCTTTACAGCCCCAGAGCATCTCAGACACATCCAGAGTCACAGCTGAGGAGCCACAGAAAGTGAGCCTTTAGCAAGGCTGCTTGCTCTGTCCTGCTCCCTGGTTTGTGAGCTGTACTGGTGCTTCAGCCCTTCACAAAGGTCTTTTTTAGGCTGAAAGTGCCCTCAAAGAGGGGCATAAATCCAGGTGGAATCACTCATTTCCCTCAGCTGGAGCAATGAAGCACCAGAGGGAATCTACAAGTTATGGGGTGAGAGCTTCTTTCATTTTCAGTGGTAAAACATCTCGTGTGAAAAACAGGAAATCCTCCCAGGAAGTACCAGAACTGAGGGGTTTCAGACCATCAACCAGCTCTTGGGAACAGGAGAGCACAGGACAGAGCCACTCCCTGGCACAGTTTGGGTTTAAACAGAGAAAGCACAGTGAGGACTTGTTTTCCCTCCCTACTGCTCACAGTCTCCAGGACAATTAAAGCAAAATTTTAAAAAATAAAAAAATCCTCAGCCCAAACCATGAGCTGCAGAGGTTTCCTGGGGGATTTTCCAGCTGCCTCCCTCCTTCCAAGGGCCAGTTCTCTCTCCAAACCCCGGGTGCCATGTAGAAGTGCATTGCTTTCCAGTTCCTAATTTGTGGTTGTTAATTGAGGCAGCCCCACCTGAGTCTGTGGACTCTGAAGACGCTGATCTGTGCAATCCAGTTTTGGTTCCCACGTCTGGGTCCAGGTTTTCACGCTGCCTGGAAAGGAAAATTTGGGATTTGCTTTAAAAGCAAGAAATACAACACTGCAGGTAGGTACAGCACAGGTGGGCATCACCTGGATTTCCATCAGAGCTCAGTTATCCTTCCTGGAACCACAATCCTCTCTTTGGCAGCCACCCCTTTAATTCAGGTTTTGCATAGAGGAAATTGCCAAATTTCTAATTCAAACCCATTTTCATAAATAGTTACCTCCCAAATTTTGTTTTACCTGCTCAACCTCAGTGCTGAGAGAGAAGAAAATCATATGGAGCCTCACATATGTAAGGGAAAAGCACTTGAGTGAGGCTCCAGCACGTGGTTAATTAAACAAAAAAATAAAAAATAAAAAAAAAAGTAGCCGGGGACAAAGCATCAAAGGGCTGAATAACTTCCAAGGGGGGCACTGCCAGTGGTTTGCAGGAATCCCAGGAATCTGAAGGGAGGAAGGACCATAAAGCAGGTGGTGGCAGAAATGAGAATGACAGAAAATCAACAAATAAAAACCCAGGAGGGTCATTGAGAGCCGAGCGGGCCGGGACAAAACAGGAGCCACGCAAGGGAAAAACTGTGGGAATAATGGGATTAGAGGAGCTCGGAGAGCAGCACAGGGAACGGGAGCAGCTGCAGAGCACAGCCCGCAGCACCGGGGAGACGGGGCAGGGACGGAACGGGGCAGCAGGGCGACGTGGAAGGGACACAAAGGGATTTATTCGTGGCAGAGAGGGAAGGGCTGCCCGGAGCAGAAGCAGGGCAGGGGGAAGGAGTCGCAGAGCTCGCAGCCATGTGCGATGGGGGCAGGAGGAGAGGACTCGGGGGTGGGGGAGACCCTAAGGGAACACATGGAAATTTGCAGGGGCAGGGCTGGAACCGAGGCCTCGTGGGGAGGAAAACCAGCTCCGTGAGGCGGCGATCTGGGGAAGGGCTGGGAGAAGGGGTGCCGCAGGCCTGGGCTGTGGAGAGCAAGGCGGGCTCAGCCCTCAGGGCCTCGCCGCCGGGGGGGAAGGGGATGGCGAGACCCCCGAGGCCTCTCTGGGGGTGCGGGAAAGGAAAAGGAGCGAGCCACGGGGCCCCGCTGCGTTTGGGGGTGAGGGCAGAGCAGCACCCCGAGCCATTCCTGAGGGAACGGGGAGGAAAGGAGAGCTGGCAGGGAGCAGAGACACTCCGGGCGCCTGGGGAAGGTTAAAGGACGTGCCCGGCCTTTGAGGGGGGCAGAAAGGCATCCCGGGGGTTTGAGGGGGGTTTTGGGGAGCGGGAATTCCCTAAGGCTTCGCTGCGCGGGACGGAATTCCGGGGGTGGAGGGAACGGAAGGAAAAGGACTCCGGGAGGCCTTGGGGTTTTTATCTATGGGGGAGCCTCCCTAGGCCTCGCTGCGGGTCCGGGAGGGGCGAGAAAACCTTCTGGAGAGGGGACAAAGCGCTCGGGAAGGGGGACAAAGCGCCGGGGAAGGGGGACAAAGCGCCCGGGAAGGGGGACAAAGCGCCCGGGAGGGCTCGAAGGGATGGGGCAAAGGAGAAAGAATCTCTCTTGGTGCGGGGGGTAAGGTCTCCACACCTCGCTTTTTTGGGGGGGTCACCACAGCGGCGAGAAAAAGGAGAGGAAAAGGAGAGTGCCCGGGCCCAGACTGACCCGCGCCCCAGCTGCTCCATGGTGAGGCGGAGGTCCGAGACAGGCGAGAGCTCATCCTGAAAGAGCGCCTTAACCACGGCGGGCGAGGCGGGGGACGCCGGCGAGAGAAGCAGGAGGCGGCGGCGGTGGGAAGCGCTCGGGGTGGGATCCATGGGAGTGGGACCGGGAATCCAGCGCAGCCGTCCCGTCCCTGCCGTCAGCGCGGCCGCCGCGGCGTTTTGACCCCAACCAGTACCCGTCGCCCGCTCCGAAGCTGGCGCCAAACCGCGGCTCAGCCAATCAGCGCGCGGAGCCCCGCGGGGGGCGGGTTGTTTTTTTTCAAACCTCCCCTCCCACCGCGCGCGCCCCGGCCAGTAGGAACGGCGGCGCCGCGGCCAGGCCCCGCCCACGGCGGTTGCTTGGCGTCGCTCTGGACCAATAGGAAGGCGAGAAAACCGGGGGGGGGGGGTTGCGCGCCAGAGCGCGGGAAGGACTACATTTCCCAGTATCCCTAGCAGGCGAGCCGCGAGATCGCTCTCTGCGTTGCATGCTGGGGAATGTAGTTCCCGCCTCACAGCGGCGCCCCTTTGCCGCCATGTTTCCGGCCATCTCCCTTTACCTTGGGCGTGAGGGGAAAATGGGGAACATGAAAGAAAAAAGGCACAAACTCAGCAGATAACACTTCTAAGACAAAGAGCCTCACTAAGACAAAGAGCCCTTCTCATATAATTTCCCCTCAAAGAGCCCTTCGCACATCATTTCTCATCAAATGGGCTCTCCGTGAGAACAAAAGCCACTTTACGAGGCGTTTAATGAGCAGCTGGGGAAATAAGGCAGTGCACATCCCTGCGACACCAGGATGGAGGTTCACGGAGAGACGAGCAGGAGAAGGGAGACTTGCCAGTCCCCCACTTGTGCTCCACATAAACTCCTCAGGACACGCAGCTTCTCCTCAGCTCAGGGTTGGCAGATCTCGCTGTCCAGCCCCTGGCAAATCCTCTGCCATGTCTCTGGTGGTTCCAGAAACTGCCGTGTCCAGCTGATCACTTTGGCATCTCCAGGACACGACCCACAGCCCGCGTTGCTCTGCCTGGGCCCTGCCACTCACACGATGCTGCTGGATTACACGGGGAGGTGTTTGCTCCTTCCTTGAGCACGCCACATCTCAGAGATCGCCCCAGCTCCCGCTGCTCTTCCAGGTGCCCTCACTCCTGCTATCGCTTCCTGAACATTTTCCTTTTTACAAACTTTTTGAGCAGTTATCACCACTAATGGATAAGGCATTGGCTTCCTAAGGCAGGGATTGTGAGTTCTCTCCCATCTGGGGTGCCAGAACTGAGGACTTATGAAGGTTGACCTAGAACAGGGGCTAGAAAGAGTTAAAGAATAAAGCAAGTATTTAGTACAATGCCTCAATGGCTACATCATGGCCAGGGCTACACCCAAGATGGGCCCAAAGTAGGCACAAAATGAACAAGCGCTCACAAAGACTCTCACTTATAAGTATTGGTCCACTCACATATTTGATTTAATTGTCCAATTACAGCTTTAGGTTATGAAGTTCCATCCTCTTTGTTTCTCTCTCTTCAGTTCACTGTTGTTTTTACTTTTTGGGCCTGGACTTTGTATCCTTGGTCTCAAGCTAGAAAAGGATTGTTTTGTCTACCTACCCTGTGAAGAGAACTTGCTAACGCTTAACATGAAGCTCAGAACTACAGACCAAAGCAGCACAGAATCCAAAAAATATGAAGGCAAAAACTCAAGGCATCATTATCAGCTCGTGGCTCCAGCCTGGCTTCCTGAGTGTGGGGTGGCTGCACCCTCCAGCCCAGCCCAGCCCAGCCCAGCCCAGCCCAGCCCAGCCGCCACCAGCCCTGCAGTGCTGACAAGGCTGGCATGAACAATCACAGCCTCTTCCCTCCTCCTTCCCGATTATTCTGTGGCCTCAGTGCCCACAGGGAGAGGTAGGACACCATCACCATGGCATCCAGCCAGGACACCAGCATGATGGCATCCCCAGGCAGAACAGCACTTCTTCAGTGCTCCAAAGGACTTAGCGGGAGGAGATGGAGAGAATTGCAGAGGATCCAGCCCAGGCAGAGCTGCAGTGGGGCTGCAGTGTGATGCCGTGTCATTGGCACAGCTCCTCCCTGCTCAGCCAGCCAAGGGCACGGGCAGGGGCCCGGCAGCCATCCCACCCTGTCAGTCACACACCTGGATCTGGGTTTTTTCTGAATAGACCCAAAAATATGGGAAGACTTTCTCAGTGAAGGTGGCCTCCAACTGCAAGATCTGCAACATGTCCTCTGTGTTGTAGAAGGTCACTTGGCCCGCTTCATAGTCCAGGCAGACCCTGATCCTCTGGAGTTTTTCCCTGAGTGCCAGCACGTCAGGGGTCGTGCAGACCGCTATGTACTGGCCCCTCCAGTCCAGTTGCAGGGCCCAGACATTCTCAAATTTGTGCAGGTCGAGAGACTCCTTCCTTGGCACAGACTCCATGGCCACACCCAGGGCCCAGCAGCCCTCTTCCCCGACCTCCACCTCCCAGTAATGCCTCCCAGACGTGAACCCCTGGGAGCCCAAGACACTGAGGCTGCCCGTGAACCTCTTGGAGGTGTCAGGGAGGTTTTGTTTTCCAGTTTTGAACCTGACCATCTTGCAGTCGTCTGAGAGGATCAGGCAAGGATTCGCCGTCTCTGGGTCCAGCCTCACCTGCTCTAATGGATGACAGAAACATCAGTCTGTGCTTGCTGACAAGAGAACCAGCACCTCTCCTCCACCACGGGCACTCCTGCAGCCCCCTCGGGTGCCATGGGACACGGGACCCTTACTGTCCCCACAATGGCACCTGAGGGGGAAAAGAGTCTCCCTGGGGCAGGACTGAGCCAGGCAGTGTCCCCACATGCAGGGGACAGACACGATGGGCTTTGCTAAACCTGCTCCCAGATCTGCTGGATATTGCAGCCTGTGGGGAGCAGTGCATCCCGGGGGTGGGAGCAGGCACTGCTGCAAGGCAGGAGGGGCCAGGCCAGTCCCTGCTCCTGTGACAAGGGCTCACCCAGCTGGGACGCTGCTCTGCTCTGCCGAGGCTGCAGAGCCACAGCTGCCCATCCACAGGGATGTTCTGCTGCCATCCCGTGGCCATCCCACAAGGCCACACAGGTGGCACTGTGCAGTGTCACCACCCCAGACCCTCTGCTAAACCCACTCTTCCCATGACTGCAGGGGGAAACTGAGGCACGACTCTCCTGTGCTCAAGGGCATCATCCCAAAAACGGAGAGTGTGGAGAGCGGCCCCAGCACAAATGGTGCCAGCCAGACCTCGGCCCAGCAATGCTGCATCACGTGGGCCCTGAGCATCTACAAAAGCACTTCTGATCACACCTAAATGCCAGCTAAAATCATGTACAGCCCCTCTGCTTAACAGGGCACAGCCCGACACGGCCTCCTGCTGTCCTGGCCCTCGCCTGGCGTTGCAGGACAGCATCCCTGGCTCTGCCTGGCACAGGGACAGACCTGGATTTTTATAGCAGGCCTAGTCACAGCAATAGAATTCAGCTGTAGACACATGCTGGGTTTAGAGGTGGTGTGAGCCCATCTCTGCACCCAGGACATGAGGACACTCATCCTGGAAAGCTTTTCCCCCTCAGTTGTGCTCATCAGCTCCAGAAACTTACCCCTTACGCCCCAGTCTATCTCTCTCTGCAGGCTCACTGGAAGAAGGAAAGGAAGATGCATGAGTGTCTCTCCTGTGGCACCTTTCCTGCTCCCTATCAGGGCAGCAAGGCAGATGAGGATTTCCCCCTGCCAGCCAAGCCCAGGGGAAGCACAGCACAGAGCCAGCAGGGCTTTACCTTTGAATCTATCCACCATGTCCACGACCCACTGGATCTTCTCAGAGAGGCTCTCGATGCTCCTCTGCAGCTCTGGGGAAACCGGCTCTGGGATCGGGGCCTTGGCTGCCTCACAGCTGAGGGGAACAGGGAGAGGAGCTCAGAGCCCAGCCACCAGCCAGGGCCAGGAGGGAAACAGGGAAACCCCTGCAGCCACAGATCCCAGGGCAGCTGTGTCCCTGCTATCAGCACAGGAACCCCATCTTTAGGAGGGGTGCAGTGGCCTCTGGTTCCTGGTAACATCACATGAAATTCCAAACACCCAGCGGGGCAAACCGCCTCCTTCCCCGCTCCTGCAGCGCTCCCAAACCTCTGCCCAAAGGAGCTGAGCAGGAGGAGAGGGACACCGAGCCTGTTTCATACCTGCTCAGGATTCTGCCAGCATCCTGCAGGAGAGAAAACACAGGTGAGCTGTGGCACCGCCGAGGGACAGGGAGCTGCAGTGGCTGCCCAGCTGTGTGAAGCAGGTTAAGGGGGCTGGGGCTCAGCCCACACCTCATCCCAGCCCTCCCTTCCCGCAGGGCCCGGACCCACAGCGGGCACAGCACAGTGCCACACAGGGGTGTCACAGTGTCAGTGTGCAGTGTCCCAGCGTGGTGTCCCAGTGCAGTGTCACACTGTCACAGTGAGATGTCATGGTGCAACAGCGCGGTGTCACAGCGCGGTGTCACAGCGCCGTGTCACAGCGCGGTGTCCCACCATGGCCCCAGGCTGCAGAAGGTGCCAGGTGGGTGTCCCCAGCCCCAGCAGGGGTCACAATGCCCAGGGGGGGGATGCTGCCTCACCGTGAGGAACTCGACCGCCGGCTGGTCCCGCTTCTCCTGGATCTGCGCAATCACCGTGTCCAGCAGCGACTGCCTCTCCAAAACTCTGGACGTGTATTCCTCGCTCTTATTGACCAGCTCCTGGAAATTCTGCTCCAGCTGGGCCAGCAGCACCTTCTTCTTCTCCTCCATGCAGCGCTGCAGCTCCTCAAAGGTCTCGGGCACACGCTGCAGCTCCCACATCACCGCCGTCTGCAAGGCACGGCACGGAGGCTCTGAGCCCACCCAGCCTCCGGCTGCCTCCGCAGGGACACGGCTGCTGCAGAGAGGGGCAAGGATCACACAGAATGGGACCAGAGGTTTGGAACAGGAACAGCAGGAAGAACAGAGAGAGGGGTGGTAAGTCTGGATGTTGATGGGCCCAAGGAGGCCATATGAGTTGGACAGAGAAAAGAATGTTGGCATGGATAAGGAGATAAGTTTATATGGGAGAGGGAAAGATGGGACATTCCTGGGGAGACGTGGTTGAGCAGTGGGGGGTATGCGGAGGAACACACACCTGCAGGTCTTCACTTTTCTGGTCTCCTCTGCACTTCAAGTTTTCCTTCTGTTCTTGTAGAGAAAGCAGGTTGCTCTGGAGTGTCTCCTGGCGCAAGGATAAAAAAATGGCATTTCTGTTAATTTTGGAGTGACATTCACAGGAGCGAGATGATGTCACCAAACAACCCCTGTGGGGACAATCCCAATCTGGGGAGTCACTGGGGTGACCCCTGAGTGCCTGGAAGTGAGGTTTGAGCTCAGAGGCAGCAACCACCTCTCCAAACTCACTTCAGCCAGGCTGGGGAGATCCCCATCCACAGCTTTTATGGCCAGAAACATTTCTGGAATAACTTCATGTGGAAACCCTGGAGTTTGTGTTTTTCTAATTGTTTTTTTCAATTAGAAAAACAACTCTCTGCATTAGAAGTGTGATTTCTGGGAAGAGGTTTCCGGTGACAGTAGCAGGGACTCAGACATGCCCCATAAATTTGCTGCAGTATTAACAAACTCCTCATGCTCTGAGTCATCTCCTGTGTTGCAGCGAGCCGAGACCCCAGCCCACAGTGTGGGGGAGAAAGCCTGGCTGGGGCCATCTGGGGCACAAGGGACCATATGGGGACACAGAGGGGCGAGCAGTGAGAGGGAGCTGGGCTCCTGCGTGGGCTGGGGCCAGAACAGCAGGAAGAACAGAGAGAGGGGTGGTAAGTCTGGATGTTGATGGGCCCAAGGAGGCCATATGAGTTGGACAGAGAAAAGAATGTTGGCATGGATAAGGAGATAAGTTTATATGGGAGAGGGAAAGATGGGACATTCCTGGGGAGACATGTGGTTGAGCAGTGGGGGGCATGGGGAGGAACACACACCTGCAGGTCTTCACTTTTCTGGTCTCCTCTGCACTTCAAGTTTTCCTTCTGTTCTTGTAGAGAAAGCAGGTTGCTCTGGAGTGTCTCCTGGCGCAAGGATAAAAAAATGGCATTTCTGTTAATTTTGGAGTGACATTCACAGGAGCGAGATGATGTCACCAAACAACCCCTGTGGGGACAATCCCAATCTGGGGAGTCACTGACCCAGATTGGGATTGTGACCCCTGAGTGCCTGGGAGTGAGGTTTGAGCTCAGAGGCAGCAACCACCTCTCCAAACTCACTTCAGCCAGGCTGGGGAGATCCCCATCCACAGCTTTTATGGCCAGAAACATTTCTGGAATAACTTCATGTGGAAACCCTGGAGTTTGTGTTTTTCTAATTGTTTTTTTCAATTAGAAAAACAACTCTCTGCATTAGAAGTGTGATTTCTGGGAAGAGGTTTCCGGTGACAGTAGCAGGGACTCAGACATGCCCCATAAATTTGCTGCAGTATTAACAAACTCCTCATGCTCTGAGTCATCTCCTGTGTTGCAGCAAGCCGAGACCCCAGCCCACAATGTGGGGGAGAAAGCCTGGCTGGGGCCATCTGGGGCACAAGGGACCATATGGGGACACAGAGGGGCGAGCAGTGAGAGGGAGCTGGGCTCCTGCGTGGGCTGGGGCCAGGCGATGGGAGAACCAGCAGCCCCAGCAGGGTAGGTACAGCCCCCCAAGGTGGCAGCCAGACAGGGAGCCCAGGCAGCAGCCGGCTGAGGCCCCGGATCCGCGGCTGGCCAGGGACACGGCCTCAGCTGGGTGCGGAGGGGAAGCAGAGCCGTGCCCGGAGGAGCTCATGCCCAGAGCCGAGCCCAGACTGTCCCTGACGGGAGCCCAGGTGTGTGCCCCGACGGGACACTGACCTGTGCCCACAGGGGACCCCAGCCTGTCCCCGAGGCACCCCAGCCCCTGCTGGAGGCGATCCCCACCTGTGGCCGGAGGGGATCCTGATCTGTGCCCGTCGCCCGCCCCACCGCGGCCAGCCAAGGCCCCCAGCCCCTCCCCGAGCTCCCGGCCCCTCTCGCGGCGCCGCCCCGTACCCGCAGCTCCCGGGCGGCCTCTTCGGCGGGGCGGACACGGTGCCGCCGGTGCTCGGGCTCGTACCGGCAGAGCGCGCAGAGCAGGGCGGCGCAGGGCTCGCAGAACTGCGCCAGGGGCTTGCCGTGCTGGGGACACCGCGGCCGCGCCGCCACCTCCTCCAGGGACCGGGCCAGCCCGGCCACGTTACCCAGGGAGCGGATGGGGCGCAGCGAGCCCGGCTCCACCGGGGCGCGGCACTGCGGGCAGGCGGCGGGGCGCGGGGGGTTCCCCAGCACGCCCGCCAGGCACTGCCCGCAGAAGCTGTGCCCGCACGCCGTGAGCACGGGCTGCTCGAACAAATCCAGGCACAGCGGGCAGGTGGCCTCGGCCACCAGCTGCTCGCGCAGAGCCAGCACCTCCTCAGCCATGGCCGCGACGCAGACGGACGGGGACCGCACGGAAGGGGCCGGGCCGGGGCGCGACGGAAACGGGCCGGGCTTCAGGAGCGGAATGGGCTTGGGTGTGTGTGTGAGAGTATGAGTGTGTTTGTGTGTCCGTGTCATTGCACACACGTGCCTCCCTGCCCTCCGGCCCCGGCCTGCTCGCCCGGAATGCCCCCAAGCCCCGGCTGCTCCGGCCAGGAGAGCTCTGGCCTCCATCCCCACACCGCATGGCTCCGGCGCCTCTCGCAGTGTCTCCTTCACTCTCAGCCCAGCTCCAGAGCACCGGGAGAGCAGCAGCAGCAGCAGTGTGAGGGAAGCAGGGCCCCTCGAGCCTCCCGGTGCTTCTCGGCCTGCTGGGCCCACACTGGCCGTGCTGTGCTGCTGCCCTGGGCTCAGCGCCGGAGGGTGCTGGGTGCCCAAACCAAGGCCCCGCATTCAGCCATCGGTTCTGCTCCTCCTCCGCCCTCCTGTGCTGCCAGTGGGGCCCAAGGAGTGTTTTGGGGGGCACTGTCCACCCCCTGACGTGATAAAGAAGTCAAACAAACCCCTCTGCAGGCACTTACTGCCCTGCTGTGGCCGTGCTCTCCTGAGTGTCCCCGTCACCCACTGCCAGCTTCCCTGCCCCAGTGGGTCCCAGGCCCTGGGCCAGCAGCTGTGACAGGCCATGACAGCGCTGCCAGCCCCTGCCCACCGTCCCTGCAGCACCCCGGGGTGACAGCCTGATGTCCCCACTCATCTGGAGCCCCCGGGCAGCTGCCTGATGGTACACTGCCCATCTCACCCCCAGGAGGGGACAGCGGTGGCTCCTGCTCGTCCCCTGTTGCTGGAGCTGCTTTCTGGCTGCATCTGTGTCCAGTTCTTCCAGCAGCCCAGGCCAGGGAAGGCTGGGTGAGTGCCACTGGTGGCCCAAGCTGCAGGGACAGGAGCCGTTGAGTCCGTGTCCCAGCATGGGACAACGCTGTCAATTGTCACCACCGTGCATTTCAGAGTCCCTGCCACCTGCACTCAGGGCCACGCTGGCCGTGTTGTCCCACTGGCACGGGAGCTGTCTCTGCAGAGGGACTGGTGACATTTGAGCTGCTGAAGGTCACCGGGATGTTGTTAAATCCCAGCAGTGTCCAGTGGCTGGGATTTAGAGCCGTGTGTGGCGGGCGAGGAGCAGCACGAGGGGCAGGAGCTGCTGTGTGGGGCCAGTGACACAGAGCAGGGCACGGGCACTGCCAGCCTGGCCACACCAAGGCCCTGGCACTGCAGGGGACAGCCAGGCTAGTGCAGGCACCTCAGCTGGTTCATTGCCAATAGAAAGCTGAATTCATCCATTCTTAGGAAGAAAAGAGGATTCTGCCAGGTCCATGTCACTGCCAGCGTCACGGACACGAGCCACTGAGAAGCAGAATCAGTTCTGCTTTTCATTTCCCCCTTCCCCATACTTGCATCCAGTCACCCATGGTGAGGGGCATGCAGGGAGGCTGCTGAGGGACACAGGGCTGCAGCCAGGCCCTCCTGTTCTGCCCCCACACCTCCCTCCCAGCACATCAGCCCCACCACAGCACTTTTCATGGAATCCCAGAACGGTTTGGGGGGGAAGGAACCTCAAAGCTCATCTTGTTCCACCTCCTTGGAAGGGCAGGAACACCTTCCACATCATCCCAGGCTGCTCAAAGCCTCCTCCAGCCTGCCCAACTTCCAGGGACGGAAGTGTCAACTCCTGTCTGACAGCACGCCCTGACCTGAAACCCCAAACTTCTTCCAGGGAGTTGCAGGCACCACCCCAGCAGTGGGAAGGCAGGAACCCTGGCAGGAGCCTGCCTCAGCAGCCCCAAAATGCTCCCACCCACAGCGATGAGCAGCTGGTGGCTCCAGCTCCGTGTGGCTCCGTGTGGCTGCGCTGCCCTCTGGCACATTCTAGCACTGAAGAGGCCATAAATCCCAACCTAGGAGGGGTTCATACACCGGGTCTTGGACGAGGACTTTGGTTCTGCAAAGGCATTAACAGGTCCTGACAACTTCTCCCATCATTGCTATGTTTATTGATGCCACTGTCCAACATGACATCTGACAGCACCAGGAGGGAGCCTGGCGTTCTCTGGGGAGCTGGTGTCACCAGCCCCGCTTCAGATGGTGTCACCAGCCCCACTTCAGATGGTGTCACCAGCTCCAGTTGGTGTCACCAGCCCAGCTCCAGTTGGTGTCACCACCTCAGCCCCAGCCCTTCGGATGGCTCTCACCCAGCCACAGCCCAGCCTCAGGAGCTGATGCCAGGACAAGCTGGGATCCCCGGGAAGCGAGCTGCTACAAACAGGAGCTCAGACCAACAGCAGGGAGATGGATTATGTCCCACCCACCCTGGCTGCAGGTGCCCAGGAACAGCGAGGTCTTTCCTTGGAGCCAGCCTGGAGCTTCAGCAGCTCCGTGTGGCTGCGCTGCCCTCTGGCACATTCTAGCACTGAAGAGGCCATAAATCCCAACCTAGGAGGGGTTCATACACCGGGTCTTGGACGAGGACTTTGGTTCTGCAAAGGCATTAACAGGTCCTGACAACTTCTCCCATCATTGCTATGTTTATTGATGCCACTGTCCAACATGACATCTGACAGCACCAGGAGGGAGCCCGGCGTTCTCTGGGGAGCTGATGTCACCAGCCCCGCTCCAGTTGGTGTCACCAGCCCAGCTCCAGTTGGTGTCACCACCTCAGCCCCAGCCCTTCGGATGGCTCTCACCCAGCCACAGCCCAGCCTCAGGAGCTGATGCCAGGACAAGCTGGGATCCCCGGGAAGCGAGCTGCTACAAACAGGAGCTCAGACCAACAGCAGGGAGATGGATTATGTCCCACCCACCCTGGCTGCAGGTGCCCAGGAACAGCGAGGTCTTTCCTTGGAGCCAGCCTGGAGCTGCTCCTCCCCTGGGCAGGAATCCCGCCGCTCCTGCCACTGAGGAGGGCACGGCTGATGCCCCCGGCAGCGGCTCAAGGATGGCAGAGCAGTTAAACACAACAAAGTCTTGCTCTCAGTCCCTGCTGGCCCCACAGCACCCCATGGCCAGACCCACAGCACCCCATGCCTCGGGGGCAGCAGGGCCAGCCCCCCGTGGGAAGACTGAGCGCTGGGAATGAGTGTTTGGGGGAGCCTTGCGGAGGGGTCCTACCAGAAAAAGGGTCTTTGACTGCAACTAGAATTTTATTCTATTGTATAATTCAGGAGTGCATCACAGCCCCGCGAGCCGGGCAGGCACCTATCAGTGCTTCCAATCTAGACACACGCAGAACTTCCTCATCAGCTGCATCTGTTAATTACTCACCTCCCCCCGCTGGAGCTCCTCCTGTCACATCCAGCCCGGACGAGGCAGCACCTCCACAGAGCTCCTGGACAAAAAGTGACTGTGCCAGAATCAGCCTACAGAGCAGTTAACAAAAAAAAACCCCCAAAAAAACCAAAAAACCCAACAAAACAAACAAAAAACAAAACTGAAAATAAAATCTTGCCCACCCTAAGGTTGCTTATCAAATAAAAAGTTCCTCCACATTTATTAAAAAAAAACAAACAGTAGATTTAAAAAGCAGTTACGAGTCCTACTCTGGCAAAACACCCCTGTGTACAGGTTTCTTTTGTTGGTGGTTTGTTTGCTCGTTGGTGATGATTCCCCCTAAATCAGCTGCTTCTGTTAATTTTTTTATATATATAATCTTTTAATTTTGCCGCGCGTTGCTTGCTTTAATTCATTAATTTATTTCCAATCAGCCGAGTCTCCACCAGACCAGCGGCGCTACCACACAAAGCTTCCTTGATGTCCATGCCCTGAGCCGGGGTGGGGGGAGACGGACGGAGGGAGGGAGGGAGGGAGAGATCAGTGGAGGAGAAGGACGAGGAGGAGGAAGGGAGGGATGGAGGGAGGGAGGGAGAGGAAGCCTCGGCAGCCCCTCACTCTCCCATGTGCGTCCTCAGGTGGTACTTGAGCGACTGCTTGTAGCGGAAGCACTTGGTGCACTCGGTGCAGGGGTAGGGCCGCTCGCCGGTGTGCGCCCGCTGGTGCTCCAGGAGGTGATGCTTCTGCGTGAAGTTCTTGCCGCACTCGGTGCAGTGGTAGGGCCGCTCGCCCGTGTGGATGCGCTGGTGCTCCAGGAGGTGGTGCTTGCGGATGAAGCCCTTCCCGCAGACGGCGCAGGCGTGCGGGCGCTCCCGCGTGTGGATGCGGTAATGGTTGGTGAGCTTGGACTTCTCGCTGAAGGTCTTCTCGCACTGGCTGCACTGGTAGGGCCGCTCGCCGGTGTGAGTCCGCTGGTGCCGCAGCAGGTGGGAGGGCCGGGTGAAGTTCTTGCCGCACTGGGGGCACAGGAAGGCCATCTCGTTCTTGCCGGCGTGGATCCTCTGGTGCATGAGCAGGCTGATCTGCAGGCGGAAGCTCCTCCGGCACTCGCCGCAGGTGAAGGGCCGCTCCCCGACGTGGGTGATCTGGTGTTTGCTGAGGCTCGACTTGTGGCTGAAGCTGCTCTCGCACTCGGAGCACTTGTAGGGCTTCCCCGGGGGCGGGGGCCGCGCCGGGGGCTTGAGGCCGTGCTCGGGGCGCCGCGGGACCCCCACGCCGCGGCGCGTGTGGCTGCGCTGGTGCAGCAGGAACTGCTGCTTGTTGCGGAAGCTGAGGTCGCACTCGTGGCACTCGTAGGGCCCTTCCTTGAGGTGGTTGCGCTGGTGGATCATGAAGTTGATCTTGAGCATGAAGCTCTTGCCGCACTCGGGGCAGATGTAGGGTCTCTCCCGCGTCCGGTTCCGCTGCTGGCCGCCGGCCGGCTTCACGTCCCCGGAGTCCCTCTCGCAGGCCGACGGCTTCCTGACGCGGGCCAGGCTGCGGGGCTGCGCCTTGGAGCTGCACTGCGCCTCGCAGCCCAGCCCGGCCTCGTGGCCGGGGAACGCCGGCGCCTCGCTCCGGCCCGAGAACATGGCGCACGGCTCCAGCGTGTCGGGGTCATCCTCTTCCTCCTCCTCCTCCTCCTCCGTCTTGATCACGATCCCATCCTCTGAGGGGGAAAATCAAACAGCATTAGGGTCACTGGGAGGGACGGGGTGGCCTCTTATACCTCTGGGTGCTGCAGAAACACCTGCAGGGGTTCGTGCAGATGTTTGCGCTCTGGGAGCCAGCCTGTGCCACAAATGGGGCTGCAGGTGGAGCCCAGAGCGCTGGGATGGGCCACGTGCCTCCAAACACGGAGTTCAGACAAACCACCCCTGTCAGGCTCTTCTGGAGGGTGCACTCCGACCGCCTGCCAAAAGGTTTGGCAACTTCGTGCTGCTGCAGGATGTGAGGGATAAAAGCACCGAGGGATAAAAGCACCACGGGTTCGCCAGGGCTCGGGTGGCTGAGTGATTTCAGAGCAGCTCCATCTGCTGCCCTTTCACTGGGCTGCAACAACACCCCTGGCACGGCACCGCTCGACAGAAACGGCGCAGGGCTGCCGGCTCTGCTCCGGGGACAGCAGAGCCCACCTGGGACTGTCCCCTTCCCTCAGCCCCGCTGCCGTGTGGTGTGGTGAGACACCCACTCCTCTCCTTCCCAGCAGTGGGATGGATCAAGAGTGGGATGGATGGCAGCAGGCCAGGCTCCCCTTCGTGTCACCAAGGCCGGAAGTGAGCCGGGGACTTTGTTTGGTGAGAGCAGCCATCCCAGGGACACAGGGCAGGAAACGCAGCCAGCACAGCCCAAGGAAAGGCCCACAGGGCATCCCTCATGTCACCCCACACCGGACTGTGAGCCAGGACTAAATGCTCTCCCAGGAAGAGCAGCTACACTTTCCCAAGAAAAGGAAACCAATGGGAGTGGATGTCTCAAAGCCATGTCTCTCTTCCCTCTGAGGAAGGGAAAACCCAGGTCCTTCTCCCTGCCCCCTCTATGGGCCTGGGGGCTCAGCCCCCATCCCGGCCAGCACGGCCACAGCTCCTGCCCAGCCCCACCAGCCGGGCCCCGTGCCCTGGCAGAGGCAGTGGCTCTCAGACAAGGATCAGCTTCAGCCCCCTGGTGGCTTGGCTGGTTTCCCTCACAAAGCCTTGAGCAGACCACAGGACCCACAAGACGAAGCTGAGGCCCTCAAGAGCCCAACTCTCTGTGAGTTGGTTTGTGTTACACCACCACAAAGCCATCAGGAGGAAGGAACCCACCATTCCCAACCTCCCGTCCCCAGCCTTACAGCACATCTGTAGGACTTGGCCTGTATCTGCCACTCCACCAGCAGAATTCTACACATGAAACACTCAGGGCCATCATCTCACCTCTCCACAAATCACCTCATCCTTCCCCTTCCCTCCTGGCAGCTCACAAATCACAGAGCTCCAGCCATGTTCTTCCCTATCCTGTGGAGCTGCCCCGAGCAACTCCCACACGTGGCAACCTGCAGGACCTCCCACATTCCTCCAGCAGTGTCCGGTGTGCAACCATGCACTCCTCCACACCTCACACCAACCTCCTGCCCTCTGCCACAGCGGGGTTTTGGGAGCAGGGCTCACTGTGGCTCTCACAGAACGCTGTCTGAGACACATCTTCCCTTGGTCTCCGTGGGTAACCAGGGCTTTTCCCAGACTCAGAAGACTGAGCCAGTGCTTGCTCTGCTCCTGAGGAGCCATCAGAGACCACGTTGTGTGTCCACCACGCTGCCTCCTCCTCCAAGCTCAAGGGGTGACCAGAGCCACTCTTGGAAGTCGCTGCAGCCAGAAACCTTCCTTCTGGTGCTGGTTCTGGGGGGATTTAACTCCTGTCCATCCAACCCCTTCCCCACCTTTTCCTAACCCAGTGCAGCCCCCAGGCCTCCTGTCCCTGACACACCACGTGCGCAGATCAGTGTCCTGAGCGTCTCACCTGTGCAGCCCCCGTGGTGAACGATGACCCTAGAGTTTTGGGAGCAGGGCTCACTGGGGCTCTCACAGAACCGCTGTCTGAGACACATCTTCCCTTGGTCTCCGTGGGTAACCAGGGCTTTTCCCAGACTCAGAAGACTGAGCCAGTGCTTGCTCTGCTCCTGAGGAGCCATCAGAGACCACGTTGTGTGTCCACCACGCTGCCTCCTCCTCCAAGCTCAAGGCGTGACCAGAGCCACTCTTGGAAGTCGCTGCAGCCAGAAACCTTAAACCTTGTGCTGGTTCTGGGGGGATTTAACTCCTGTCCATCCAACCCCTTCCCCACCTTTTCCTAACCCAGTGCAGCCCCCAGGCCTCCTGTCCCTGACACACCACGTGCGCAGATCAGTGTCCTGAGCGTCTCACCTGTGCAGCCCCCGTGGTGAACGATGACCCTCTGGATCTCGCTGAAGTCGGCTCCGTACTCGGAGGAGTCCCCCAGGCTGGTCCCCGGGAGGTCCCTCGGCGGGGACACGGAGCCGTAGGGGCTCTCGCAGGCCGCCTCCTCGTCCGGGCTCTGGAAGCTGCCCTCGGACTGCCCCGACATCCCGTGCAGCTCGGGGTTCTCGGGGCTGTCTTCAGGAAGGAGCTCCTCCGTTTTGATCACCACCCTTATTCCAGCTGCAGCAACGAGAGATTGTCACCTGCCGTCACTGCCAGGAGCCAGAATGAGGGACCTGCTCCCAGCAATTCCTGCCAGCACCAGCTGCTGATCCCACTGAGGGCTTCATCTGCTCGGCCTCTTCTGCTCTCCCTTCAGCCCCTGCCTTTCACCCATCCATGCCACGCTCCCAGCTCCAGCCCAGGACCCTTCACTTGGTCCACCCAGCCTGGGGTCGTGGTGCCACAGCTCAGCATCCCTTGGCCACCCCACATCCCCCAGCTGCAGCTCCACGTGGGCCTTTGATTTTCCCCTTCCCACTGGCCTCAATTTCATTTCAAGATCCTTGTGAAGGAGAGCACAAGCAGGGTGTTGGTGTGACCCCCCATCCACAGCCTGGAATCAGGGATGAACAGTGGAGATGACACCATCTCTTCCAGGCCACCTCCTTATCTCCTTATCAGCCCCCTTATCGCAGAGCAGGAGTCGCTCTGGGACTCGGGGTCACTGGTGCCCCATTCCCAGCCCAGTCTTGGCCCTCACCATCCCATCTCTCTGCACACAGCCTGGGACCAGGCATCCCTGCCTGGGAGGATGCTCCAAGGATAAACCCAGCCACCATCCACGCAAAGAGAGGGTGGAAGATTTTCTGGGTGGATGGGCTCTCCCAATGGGACCCGATTCCCCTTCCTTGCTGGGCACACTGGCTCCCTGAGGACCTGGTCTGGTTGCAGATGCTTCCCTTGCTGGGAAGGGCTCCCAGCGCCCAACTCTCCAGGCTCTGCTTGTCCTGCTTTCTATGTTGAGCTGTACCTGGACATCAAACCTCCCATCAGCCCAATTTATCCCATTCCTAGGCAAGGTTTCTCCAGATAAACCACATCAGCCACAGCTCCCACCAACATCTGCTCCAGCCTTGGGATGAGCACAACCTGGGAACACAACCCAGGGCTGCCCTGGTGCCCAGGTGCCGCCTCACCTGCCGTGGCATCAGTAATGATCTCACTCTCCTCCAGGTCCTGCTCATTCCTGCCCCGCGATTCCTCCCCTTGCTCGATCTGAGACAAAACACCAGGTTTGGAAATTGCATAGTCTGTTGAGAGACAGAGGGGTGGGAGAGAGGGATTACTGCACTGGGAATCTGATACTGGCTTCCACCTCTTCCCAGCACGCAGGGGACACGTGAGGACACTCGGGAACATCCACAGGTGCAAAATCCTCTGCAGGGGTGCAGGGGCTGCTACCCACTGCAGACCCAGAGGATGCAGGGAAACCCTCCCAACAGCCATGGGGAAGGAAGGAGCTGGTTTTTGATGGCATAACTGTGGCTGGAAGAGGTTTGGGAGGTTTCCAGCCCACCTGCCCACAGGGCATCCCTCGCCCAGCCAGAACACCACCACAGCACGAGCTGGAATAAACCCAGACTGAAAACATCCAGCTGTGTTTTCAAGCCTTTGAAACGGGACGTTTGGGTCTCATCCAAGGAGGAGGCAGAAGGAGCCTCAGAAGGGTGAGGACACCCCGTATTTACCCAGGGAGATCAGAGACTCGTAGTTCCCCTTCATCACATTCTTGTAGAGCTCCTTCTGCCACTCCTCCAGCTTCTCCCATTCCTTGTCATTGAAATAGACGGACACGTCATCAAAGGTCACCGGCACCTGCAATTCCAACAGCAGCTTCAAGCAGGAGCCTGGACACAGCCAGGCTTCAGCTCCTCCGAGGCCATCAATGAGCTGCTTTTAACATTTAAAACAACTCCTGGGCAGGTATTTCTTTGGGAACAAAGGACTCGACCAAATGGATGGTTGCTGGTGATGAATCCAGACTGGGATTTCCCCAAAGGACCCTGAGCTCCTCCTCTCAGTCCCTGCTTTCTGCAGGGTGATCAGGCTTGGGGGACCATAAGGGAGAGAAAACCCAGGAGCTGGGATGGACTCATCCCTATTGATGAGCTGACGTAACTCCCGGATTCAATTACCCCAGAACTCCAGGGAAAACTCTACCCAGGCCCACAGGGCTCCCCATTATCCCTGGTTACTGTGTGCCCACCATCTGCAGCTTCCCAGCTTGTTAGCCAAGGAATAATTCCTAAGGATAAATTCAGGATGTGCAAAGTGTGCCGTGCTGGAGTGGAGCTCTTATGAGGGAATGCAGCACTCCAATTCTGTCCCCTAACTGCACTAATGGGGTGCCAGGGTCTGAACCCACCTTTTCCTGATCCTCTCTGCTCTCTCCAAGATACTCCCTCTCCCATGTCCTACGTGGTCTCATTTGCACACTCTTTTAGCAGGAAGGTTGTGAAATTCAAGTAGGAACTGAATATTGATGGTGGGCTCTTTCCAGAGCTATGCCCAGGGAGCTCATCTGCCTTCCTGAATCCCAAAGCTTCCCCCTTCCCTGCAGCAGCAGCTCCCACTTGCTCCTTCCCTGGCCTGGGAGACTCTGCAGCGTCAAGGTGGTCAAAACGGGAGAACCACAAAATCTGCAGTGTTTCTAGAAACGGTGGCAAAAAAAAAAAATGAACGAAAAAAGAGTCAACGGCCCCAGGGCTGTGCAGCGCAGTGGAGCAGAACTGAAACCTCTGGCCTGAGTACCAGGATGTCCTTCCATCCCTCCGTATTTTAGCCTCAGCAGGGGATGAGCTGGGAAGCTGCACTAGGCAGCTGCAAGATTCACCAGAGCCGGGGCTGTCCCCGCTCACCCACCCCGGGCCTGCCCTCCGGGAGCATTTCGGGTGCAGTGCCCGGCTCCCGCTGCCCAGGACACCGTTACCTTGGGGACTTCCCCCTTCCTGCCTGGGGGCAGCCGCAGGATCCAGAAGTTCCTGTTCTTCAGCAGGTTCTCCATGTTCTCCAGGCGCCGCTGGAGCAGCCCGTACTCCTGGATGAGGGTGCCCAGCGCCGCGCACTTGCTCTCCAGCTGGTTCCCCAGCTCCGCCGCCGTCTTCTCGCAGTCGATCAGCTTCTTCTCCGCCATCCCCGTCCGACCCTCCAGGTCCAGCAGGCGGGTGGAGTGGGAATCCACCTTGCGCTCCACCGCCTGCACGGCCGCCACCACGGTCAGGGACAGCTCAGCCGTCTGCGTCTCCCGCTCCGAGGTGCGCTCGGGCCCGGCGGCCGGCCGGAGGGGCGAGGGGCAGCGCGGCGGCCGCACCGGCTCCGGCGCCTGCGGAGGAGACAAGGGCGCGGGGTCAGGGCGGGGGATGCCCCCAGGGGGATAGGGACCCTGCCGGGGTGATAGAGACCCGCCCGCCCCCGGTGTGACAGGGCCCCCCGGGGCGATGGGGACATCCCCGGGGCGATGGGGACATCCCCGGGGCGATGGGGACATCCCCGGGGGCGGGGGCCGCTGCAGGGCCCGGCGCTCGCCGGGGCGGCGGGGACGTCCCCGTGTCCCCGCTAAGCCGCTTACGGCGGCCCCGTGCCGGTCCCACGGGACGGGCAGGACCCGCCGCGGCGGGGATGGGGGGAGGTGACAGCGCGGGGCCGGGAGGTGACACGGGTGCGCGGGGTCAGGGCGGGGGATGCCCCCAGGGGGATAGGGACCCTGCCGGGGTGATAGAGACCCGCCCGCCCCCGGTGTGACAGGGCCCCCCGGGGCGATGGGGACATCCCCGGGGGCGGGGGCCGCTGCAGGGCCCGGCGCTCGCCGGGGCGGCGGGGACGTCCCCGTGTCCCCGCTAAGCCGCTTACGGCGGCCCCGTGCCGGTCCCACGGGACGGGCAGGACCCGCCGCGGCGGGGATGGGGGGAGGTGACAGCGCGGGGCCGGGAGGTGACACGGGAGGGCACCT